ATGATGAACCGCCTTTTGTACTCGTCAAACTCAACAGAGAAGGAGTGGGCTATGTCAACGGACACCTTGGTACTGTACAAAAAGTTTGATACAGTACAATTCCTGCGCAATACAGTACAGCACAGTGTTGACAATGGGTTCTAGAAGTTCTGGAACTTCCAGTGCTCTGACAGTACAGTGTATATTCTATCTGCACTTTGTGGTGCTTCCTCTGCTCTTACAACCAAAGTCTCCATGAATCGAGATCATAAGCCAAGGTGCATCAAACATCTCACAAAGAACTTTGAACGTTTGCACAAATACTGGGACTACCACGTCTGTCCCGGAACAGGTTGACCCAAGACGAATGCATTTGCCGTCCAGTGCTTGCAAAGTTGAATGTAGTTTATTCTTGTCATCTGCTGACAAACGCCCCACAAAATGCTTAGCCGTTGATGTCAAGCTCATCTCAGCTAGGTCTGACGAACACATTCTTCGCAACGCAGACAGTGGAACTCTAGTACTTCTTCCTTTCCTGGAGCCAATCACCATAGGTTCAGCAAAGCGCTCAATGTTGACCAGCTGCCACTGCCACAAAGTCTTCCCCTCGTCAAGAATGCCTTGGATCAGAGTGTGTGCACTGCACAGTGCTGTACAGCATTGTATTGTGCAACTCTACCGTACTGTAGCATTATGGCAGGGTGCTAAAACAAGTGCGAGACATACAAAACTACAGTACAGTATAGTTACTGCACTATACAGTACAGTACTGTACAACACTGAATTGTTTAATCTTGATTACAGAAGCACACGCCAAATTGAAACACGGAACGGTTTCTCCATGCAGACTTTTGCGATGAATCAGCTCTATTGAAAGCGCCGGTCCCCCGCAAGTTGGAGAAGTTCTTAATAACCTGGCATTCCTGGATTTCAGCCATTGCTATTGCCGCACCTGTGCCACTCTCGGTCAAGCAAAACTTGCCACACCGCGCTTGCTTGTTGGGTTGCCATGTAAACAGCCAAGATGATAGATCAAAAACCATCTCTATGATATCCCTTGACAGGCTGACAACGGTGCACGACTCTGCCAGTGCTGAGACTTCTGGAAATGCTTTTGGTGGTTCACTCCTCTCAACCTCCACCGATGCTTGCTTGGCTGTCTCTGCCTTTGCTTCTGG